GACTTTGTAATTTAAATAAGGACTTTCACAATGTAAGATTTCATGTTTGTTTTTGCACCTTGAATTGTATCTGAAAGCAAATATCAATATTTCCTTTGTAACTTCTACTCCAAGTAAGCTACCTTTCATTTTAGACATTAATGCTCTGTCTATACAGGCTAACAAAGTGGTGTGAGGTTGTTGGGTTTTTCTGAGGGGGGAAAGGGGGACATTGAAACCTGTGATTCCATCAGTGTAAGGGAATGAGGAGAACTCCCCCTCCCAAATCCCAAAGCTGAGCTGCAAAGGTTAGACAAGTTACTTTTTTAGGTAGTTGACTCAGGCATACAGATATTAAGCAACTGGTCCAGGGTCACGTAGACCTTATGTGTCCTGGGCAGGACATAACCCAGGTGCCCCAGTATCACCATTTGACTCTCAGAAGTGGATAATTGAGAAGCATTTATCCAGGTTATTTAAGTATGAATAATGACTCAACAGGTATTGTGTTGTAAGTACTATAAAACATTAAAAAAAATTTTTATTTTAGTTTGCAAGTAGATGTGACTTTAATTACCTGGATGACTATAAGCTTTCTACTTTATTTCACATGTATATAAAGTAGTTTAATCCAAATATTTAAGTAGTTTTCCAAATTTTCCCCAATACAATACACAATGACAGTTTCTAAAAGGAGAGAATAAAGAAGAACAAAAAAAAAAAGAGAGAACTGAAAAGGAATTCTTTCTAACCCTTTCCTTGATTTTATTACTCCTTAGGGACCTGCTGGTTCACAACCATCACCACATACAAGGTCCCTATCTCCCAAGCCCAGCAATCCCATGATGGGACCTTATGGTCAGGTAGGAGGGACACAGGAAATACATTAAAATATGTTACTCCAGAATGCCGTATTTAAGATGAGAAATTTTTCATTTTAAATGTTTCATTCAATTAATACTGAATCATCTTTCAATTATAGATACGAACATTGAAAAAAATTTTTTAATTTTATTTTGTTCTAGGATCCTTCTAAACTTTTCAACATTTGACTTTGAGTAATATATTTAACGTGATTTCTATCTTTTTTTTATTTCACAGTAAAATTCTTTAAATTACATAGTACTATTTGGTCATCCATTTTTATTTTCCCATGTTTCCCAAACTGCTTTTTCAATCTGAGGAAATGAATTACTTGAAATGACACTTTTTGAGACATGTTACACAGCTATACATAAACACTGAATCAAATATTTGATTCTTAATACTTTCAAAATATTTCAAGAAGCTAAGACATTTTTGCAAATAAAAAAAATATAAAAAGATGAGCTGTTTCTGACCCATATCTTGCTATACTGCAGTGAAATAAATGAACAGAGGAGAAAAGAATCAACTCTTAGGACAAGATATTTAAGAATGAATTTTCGTAAATGATTAAATTTCTTTCACTGAGCAAATGAATGTGAAAGTTAAGGAATATTTAATACTATAAGTCTTAACTAATGAACTTTATAAAAATTGCCGATTGACTTGGGGGGACATTAATTTGAGGGCAGAATTTTTTCATGATTTGATTAGGATGGATGATAAAACTAACATACAACCCAGTGGTTAGGGAGAATAAAATGGTTTTTTTTGCAATTAGCAATTGGTTGCAAGCTACTTATTGTGAAATCTCCACCTGGGAAAAGAATAATGAAAGGTAGTGTTGGTTGGGAAAAGGCAGAGCATTCTGTGGCATTGGGGAGCCCTTCCAGGGAACTTAGTAGTTAGGCAACCAGGGAAGGATGATGAAGAGGTGGGGGGGGTTTGGGGGTCCTGGGAAAAAGCCCCAGATCGCAGCATGGATCTGCCTGAAAGAATTCCACCCAGATCTTCTTCCAGCCAGAGAAAAAGTTTATTAAAGATAAAGCATATAGGCTAGACTTCCAAGGAACCCAAACATCAGTAACCTAATGGGGGTCTGAATGGGGGAGGCCAGGTGACACTCATAAGGATGAGCAGGCGTGAGGCAGTCTCAGCCTTTTGGCTTGAGAACAGCTCAGCATCTGAATGGGGGAGACCAGGTGAATCCCAAGCCAGGTGACGCCAGTAAAGATGGGTGGGCATGAGAGTCTCAGCCTCTAGGGGCATGAGAAATTCCCAGCATCAGAATGGGGCAAAGGTGAATCTTAAGTACAGAAGGACTGTGGGAGGGATCTAGGAGTGGCCAAGCAGTTTGGAGTGACTGGAGGAGGGGTCCAAGGAGATCTGGATGGGAGTGGCTAGCAAGCTGGGGTGAACAGAACTCCTGGGTCCTGGACCTCACGGCACCTAGCTAGGATTAAGGGTGAGAAATGTCCAGGGAGGCAAAACAACGGAAGGGAGATTGGGTGTAACCACAATGAGAGGCCAGTTGATTAAAAGGGTCCAGGTGAGAATTTCCTTTTGGAATGTCTGAGAGATTTGAACAGACAATGAGAATAGATAATGAAGGGAGCTGGAAGGGGGAAGTTTTGCTTTCAAAGGGAGATAAAGAGAGACAAACAGAAGCCAGGTTCTTTTCAGGGCCAGGGAAGAAAGATGCATATGAAAAAGGCCAGACCAAGGCTTTCAAGGAGATAAGGGGAATCTAAAAATCTAAGGGTTTTCAAACTGGATGGTGGGCACATAACCCTGTCATTTCCCAGGGGAACGCCAGAGATTTGGTCATGTGGGAAAGTCCAGGGTTTTTCCTTTCTGGGGTCAAGATCCCAATCTCATCAATGGCACCTATTTATCTGTGGATCTCCCCCACTTTGGGAACAAAAGAGAGCTTTGCATAATTTCTTTTTTATGGATTAACTCCTTCATTCTTAAGTCTTTCAAGGTTCTGTAAATAAAAGGATCTACAAGAGTAGGTGTGGGTGCTCCCCACCCAGAGACTGATTAAAACTTTTCTACAACTTTTACTAGATGATTTACTAGTTTCTATGGTTGAAAAAGCCGTTACCCTACAGCCAGCATCTGCAGTTCCTCTGAATTTAGCTTGACTTCTCTTCTGGCAGTTAGGTACCAGCTTGTACCATGGAGTGAAGCCTTTCTAGTTTGCTTGCGACCTCTCCACTGCCCCAGCCTTCCCAAACCCAGGCCTGTGCGCCTCCATGAGACATTAAGCAGGGACTTGAGTAGAAGACTAAGAAACATTATTCTTGCACATGTAAAATGAGTGGCTAAGTACAATTCAAAATCTTGGACAGAGGACCGAATTGTTAATTTAATTTAAAACTTCCTTTTGCTGGTTAGTCAGACACTTAATAATACAGAGTAAAGGTGGAATATTTGATAATTGTCTGGTCATAGAAACAAAAGTTTAAAAAAACAACAAAATTTGTGTGTACACACACACACACACACACACATCTACAGAGTAAAAAGTGAAATTAAAATTTGACAGTTTTCTGGGAAATTGTATGAAATCCTACCATCTCTGCCACTTACTACCCATGTGATATTGAGGCACATCACTACCTGAGCCTTAGTTTCCTGATTTGTCAAATGAGGATGTTGGACTAGATAACTGGTAAGGGTCCTGCCAGCTCTAAATTTATGATCCTCTGATCAGTGTAAATGCTAAGTCAGAGAAGATAGTGAGAGGAATATTATCTATATCAATATCACGAATTCCATGAAACCATTGTTGAATCAGGAAGAAGCTTTATTAACGACCTGGAAAGACCTGACATCCTGCATGTGTGAGAACACTCATGTGAGAGCACATGTATCAACAAATGCATATCTTTTTATTCCCTATTCCCCATTTGAATTTCTTTCCCATTTCCCTGTTTGCTGGGTACTATAGAGGTTACAGCCTATCCCAAGCACCTAATTTCCCCTCACAAGTCTCCACCCCTAATTACATCTCCCACTCCCCACAATTCTGTGACCCTGCCCTTACTTGGGAGCACCCCTTTTGATGTTAATCTATACCTAGCCTCAGAACTGGTTTTCCCATAGTCTATTCACCACCAAGAGTGTTTTCTTATTCTAATATAACTCCCTTTGTTCAACTTCCACATAGCCCCAGACTGCATTCCTTAAGGTTCCACTTGACTTTTGTGGAAATAATGCAAAAACTATTTCTCACATTCCCTCCCAGTTTAAACTGACTCCAACATCTGATTGAGAAGCAGAAGCAGTATCTACATATTCCATAGGAACTGAACTTGTGATATCATTGGCATCAGGACCTCCCAGAAGAGAAAAATCCTATCAGTTTCTCATCCATATCTTCTCAGCCACATGCGCTCTTAAAGGGCTTCCTAGAGCACTGAGAAGTGACTTGTCTAGGGTCACACAGCCAGTGTAAATAAGCAGCATGGTGTATGAGATAAAGCGTTGGTTGTGGGGCAAGGAGGAGCTGAGTTCAAGTTCAGAAAATTTGCCCTAAATTAATATTATTACTGTCATCATTAATAAGTACTCAGTGACTCCCAAGGATCTATGATGTTATTGATAGGCCAATTCCTGCTAATGATGTGGATTGCAACCCACCTATGTCTGCTCATCCTGCACAGCCCTCGATGTGTCTTTTGCCATGAAATGTTGACTTATCACGTGCTTAGTCCCTTGTTTGAGTTTTTGTAACATCTCCAGGATACCAAGCAGACGGAACACATGGGCTGTGTATCAGTCATGCCTTACTCTCACTATGGGACCATTTCATTTCCTTTTTGATCATATATTTAGTGGCATCCTGTATACTGCATATCATTTTGTAATTCCTTGTTTGGTGCACGCACTCACATGTGCACACACACACCCTGTGCCTCTCCAGCAATGATAATGCATATTTTAATTTCTATGCAATATTAAGGGTAAAGTCAGAATTCCCATATTCTTCAGTAAAAGTCTCAAAGCAAATCTCCTAGATGACATGATACTAATTTCCTCAAGAGGTTTTATTTTAGAAAAGGTATAAAATAGTATGATAACTATCTTAAAGATATAACACTTAGATTTTTGAATTTCATAGCAGTGTTATATGCTCTTTTTTTTAATAGCCTTTCATGTCACCTCGGTATCCTGGAGGTCCAAGACCACCACTGAGAATACCTAACCAGGTAAGGCCTCTCTGAAATATAAATTTGCATTGTAATTTGGTAAAAAATTCTGAATTTTTAAGAAATATCCAAAATTATATCTGTACTTTTTAATATTACTTTTACTGTGATTCCTAAGCAATTTATGCTTTTTTCATTACATAATTTTTCCTCATAAAAATCATAGAATTTAAAGCTGTAAGAACCTTAGAGATTACCTAGTCCATTTCCCTGATTCTGTAAATGAGGAAAATTTTGAGACCCAAAGAGGTTACCCTGAGATTATACAGCTAGTGACAGAGTCAAATCTGACTTCCAATTGTATGTCTTCTGACTATTCCTTCCACGACACCATTCTGAAAAACTGCATAAATGTTAGTTAAGTATTGCCAGTTAAAGCCTTGGTATAGTGAATGTTGTTAAAAAAACATCATTAACCTAATTTTTGTCATTTATTTTCATGTTACTTATATTTAAGTTCATAGTTTTGATTTTAGATCAAATATTAACTGTATAATTAACTAAGACTATTTTTAATTTCAGTTGGTCTACAGCTAGGTTGCTAACCTTCCAATGAGTCCTCCACCTTATTGACATATATTGATATTTTGCCGGCTCTAGGCTCACTCTCCCAATTGGCAGGTCAGGTCTCCAGAGGGCAGCTCTTACCCTCCCCTCAGTTAGTCCTGAAGGGTTATGGCATCTAAAACTATTGCTCACGAGCCCTGTCCAATGCGTTCCTTTCCCCCTCCCCAATATAACTTAACCAGTCAGCATCTGCCCAATAACAATGAACGAACTGACATCAATTAGCTTTTACCAAGGGATATTTACTGAGGAGATATTGGAAGGACCAAAAAGAACAATAATCCTCTCCTCCCCAAACTGGGAATTACATTCAGTCCCTGGAAAGAGTGGACTCATTTAAAGTGGTGATCACATTTTAGGTGGAACCTTCTGGCCCATGAATACTTTTCTCCCTCTTCAAAGTTCACTTCTACATTTGGCATAACTAGTGGGCAAGTGCTCCTTGCTTCGCTAGGCTGAGTCAAGCAGATCATTCTTTAAGGCTTGGCAGCTCTGACAGACTTTTCTACTGATGACATTTGTTGGACCCCTGTGGAGACGAGTAAGATATCAGTTGCTTGAAACTTATATGCAAACTTAGTTCTAGCTCAGAAGCCGACTAAAAGAATTTTTGTCACACAGTAAGCTGACATCTGTTTGTTCTCTGAAGTGGAAGAAAGGGGAGGAGGGCTTCTCTCTTGCACATGCGGGAAAGTCGGCTCACCAAACTTCCACATGCACGCGAACTAGGCAGGAAATACTGACCACTCTAAGTACTGAGCCCTCACCTGGTACAAAAATGAGTTGCCTCTGATTTCATGTGGCATTTCACATGTATCTGGATCCAAATGCTGTTAGTCGATTAAGTGTTTCCTAAGCACCTACTATGTGCTTGCTGCTGTGGAGAAATACAAACTAAGTATAAAATATGTGCCCTTTGTTCAAGGAACTAATAAGATAGTTCATAAAACACTTAGAAAATAATCACAGAACTGCACAGTGCTGGTGATGGGATCCAGAACAAGTGCAAACAAAAGATGGGCCTTTTTCCTAATTCCATTTGTGTCCAAAGGAAATCTGTGTCTGTAATAGTATTAATTTATTCCTTTTTAGCCTAACTTTTGCATGTTTTCTCCCCCCACTAGAATGTGAGCTGCTTAAGGGGAAGAACTGGTTTTGCCTGCCTCTCCCCCTTTTTTTTTTATTGCCAGCGCTTAGCACGTGGGAAGCATTTAATAAATGTTTGTTGACTTCATTAACTCATTTTCCTTTTAACCCCTAATACTTCCCCATAATACAAATTTAAAGACCCACATATCCCTGAATTATTCCTTTATGTTAATCCTCACAATAATTCTGCCAAATTTCAAATTCTACCAAATTTTAACCCATTTCTATATTAATTTTGGTTGAAATGTTTGTAAAGTCCTTGCAGAATCCTAACATAGCAGGCAGTCTTCCTCTGAGGTCATTGTAACAGCAATAAATGCTAGCTCCCAATTCCAACCCTGGGTCACAGCTTACACGCTAGCAAGGCTGAAGCCTTTCATGTTTTCTATGGCCTGCAGTGCTCATGGAGCTGCTGGAGCATCTCTCCACAATCCCAACTCAGTATTGAAAAACATGGTCTAAGGGAACAGGCCATGAAATGGGAAAGGAAAGCGGACAGATGCCTCAGATCCTGACATATGGAAACCCTATTTTCTCTGTGGGTGAACACATACATTGACATTCAAATCTGCTTATTTATGTAAATGCCTTTATTGTTTCTGTATAGAGGATGGGACTTTTTCAACTTGTTTCTGAATTTTACTGAGACTTTTTCCAACTTTCCATTTTATATTTTGTACTAGTTCCAATTGAAATTACACTAAGAAGAGGAACATACACCTAGGGCAGGGTGGCCCCCATATTCCCCAAACGCTTAGAGAGCCCTTTCACGACTCTTCAATAATAGCTTTCCTCATGATGATGGCTTAAGGAGAAGGAAAATGCAGGGTGTCCCAAAAGTCTTAGCCCAGCTTTAAGCTTTTAAATCTTACTGTCCCAATCGGCAGTCAAGCCTGTAAAGCTTAAAACTACACCAACACTTTTGGAGCACATCACATTTTTGAGGGTCCCCCAGGCCCCTTTGTCCTCAGTGCTGTTGTTTTGGGAGACCACCAAGGGACTCCGTGGGAGAGCTTCTTACAAGCTTAGCTGAAAGAGAGCCTTTTTAATCCAGATATGTGATCATTTTAAAAACTACCTCCTGAACCTAAAAATGTTCCCCCTTAATTCAGTAGATAAACTGGAAATTATTTAACCTTATCTCAGAGGAATGTCTGACATTGTTAATTTCCTCTATTTAGTCAACAATTAGCAACCCCTTTCTTGTAAATATATGTAAAATAAGCATTCCAATACCTGTAGAATAGGGCAGCTTGGTGGTCCAGTGAATAGACCACTCGGCCATGAGTCAGGAGGTCGTGAGTTCAAATTGGGCATCAGACACTACTAACTGTGTGATCCCTGGCAAGTCACTTAACTTTGCCTCATTTTCTTCATCCATAAAATGAGCTGGATAAGGAAATGGCAGACCATTCCACTATCTTTGCCAAGAAAACCCACAACGGGGCCGTGAAGAGTCAGACACAACTGAAACAACTGAACAAGAACAACCTGTGGAATGAGTAGTTTTAAATATGGGGGGAAGTTGATGCAGAGAGATGTTTCATAAATCCTCAATCAGATACCCTGATGTTTTTGCATGACTGGAGTGTTGGTGGTTCTTTAGCACTGGACACATTTCACTTCCTCAAGTGCAATGTGCTAACATTGATGGCGCCTTGTTCCCATTTATATTTGTTTTATAATGTCCATGACAGCCTCTTTGTTCCTTGTTTTTTTTTTCTCATAGAAGCTGAAACTTTGCTAATTCAGATTCTGCTAATTCCATATTTGTAATATTTTACTTCTGTACTACTGAGAGAAAAGGTTTGTTAGGCAAATTAGTATTTTAAACTTGATCATATGGGGTAATATTTGCCCTCTTCAAGAGAGAGAACAGTTTTCAGGTACTTTCAGAAGATCTAATATAATAATTACAAATAAATCACATAGTCATTAAAGTGGATTGGTAAAACTTTTATGGTTGATAGTAAGTTGGCATTATTACATATGTATTTAGAACAATAAAAATTTAATAATATTCTGTTAAATATTCTATAATTCAGCTATTTTATTAATTTATATTGGCCTTTGGATTAATATAGTTTTATTGTATTGTCAAAAATATTTCTACTGAGAGACTGAATAATAAAATATTAAATACCTAATGACTGTGACAGGTCATAATGCTCAGCTTTAAGATGAGCAAAAACTGGAAGAATTTATAGTCACAATTGATTAGGACATAGTCGTCTATCCTAGATTTTCTTCAGATTTTCCCCGTAGTTTCTGTGTGGATGCACAAAAATGGTACTGTTTTGTGAGGGACTGTCTGATGTTGGCAGCTACCAGGTTGGGCGCTGTGGCAAGAGTAGGGTAAGATCTGGGTATTTTGGAAGTCGAGGCAGGGGCTGTGGTAGGCAGAGTCGTGGTGAACTGGGATGGGCTGGATATGGAGAAGCCCTGAGGCAGTGGGCAGTGCTATGTGAGATAAGCTGGGTACAAGGAAGTAGCCGGAGCTTGAGCTCCTGAGGCAAGGGGCAGTGCCACGTGGGAGTGGGACAGCAGAGGACTGAGTTCCCTTTGCTTAGTCCCCTCCCTATATGCAACATCATCCCCAGACGCCTCTTGTGACCTTCCTGACCTCCTGGGTCCCTTTGTGCAGCACTGACCCTAGCCCCTCCTCCCAGTGTCTGAGTCTGACTTCCTAGGTCACATACTCTGTCTATGTGCTAATCCCAGATGCCTCCTCCCTGTATCTGGTCCTAGCCTCCTACGTCACTCCCTCCCCCTTGGTGTGCTAAACTCAGACAGCCCCTTCCGGTATCTGACCCTACAATCATTGGCTAGTAAGCGGGCTGGGGAGGAGGGGCTAGGTAGGTATTTAGGAACAAGCGTGGTCAGATCACGCGCTCTCTCTCCTGGCTCCTGTTCTGTTGCTCTGGCCTTGCTGCTTGGGCTTGCTATGATGGCTTGCTGTGATGGCCTCTGAATAAAGCTCTGGTGTTGGCGCCTCCCGATGGCTCGTCTCTGTGTGTTTATCCGGTTGAGGACCGAAGACTCGGAAGTGAGTATGACTCTGGTACCATGCTCCTTATAGGAGGAGAGGGTACCGGCGTGCGGCCGGCAGAAGGTCGGCGTGCGGCCAGTTCACTGTTTTATACAGGTATTAGAGATTGTAAGCAGTGTATGTCTGGGGAAGGTAAAAAGCTGGGAAGTAATAAAATATTTGCAACAAAAAGGAGGAAGGTGTAGTAGCCATTGTGGTGGTGGGAGAGAGGAATGCTATGAAGTGTCTTGGGCAA